GCGGGCTGGAGTTTTTTTTTCTTTAGGCCAACAGGCATGTACTCACGTGGGATCATGTGTATCGGTAAAAAATCCACCTCATAAAAGCAGAGAGTAGAATTGTGGTTACAGAGGGCTGGGGGTGGGGGGGAATGGGGGAGATGGATGGTCAAGAGTGTAGCAAAAATCTCAGGGCGGACACATTGATGGATTGTTTTTTTAGGGGTTCTCATTGCAGAGGTTCAGTCGGGTGAAATATTTAGAGAAAACAGTGGGAGTATTACTACACAATTTCAATAATAGCTCAGAGAGTCAAATTTTCAACATGGTTCTTCGACCAGCAGAAAATAAGTACAGTTTGACTGGTGACTATGTTAGACCTAGCTTGAGTTTCATGGTATGCCTACTGATACTCTCTATAAATCATAAAGTGGATTCATCTAAAATCATGACCATGCATTTTTGTAACCTCAGTGCGCATTTTATTACATAACATTAGAAACTGTTAATATTACAGGTAGAATAAAAAAAAAAGGTTGGTTGAAGAAATCCAGGGAGGAGTCTCCGTTTCCGCTTCTTGTTGTTGAGAATCCAGGAGAAGTTCCTTTCACTTTTTTTTTTTTTTTTTTTGAGACCAAAGAGCTCCGCTTCTGTTGCACCAGGTAGGAGTGGAAGTGGCGTTTGCGGTCAGCCTAGCTCACAGCGACAGCCTCAAACTCCGTGCTCAAGCGATCTCCTGCCCAGGCCTTCCCGAGTACTGGGACAACAGATCGCAATGCGGCTAATTTTCTATATATATTAGTTTCCCATTAATTGCTTCTATTATAGTAGAGACGGGTCTCACTCTTGTCAGGCTGGTCAAACTCCTGACCGGCGATCCCGCCTCGCCTCCCCAGATCTAGGAACAGGCCTGAGCCACCGCACCGCCCACTCTTTTAACAAAGAATTAAAACCATTAAAAACAACTGAGCTGCGCTGACCTGAAAAAAGGAAAAAAAAAAAGAAAGACCATAGAACGACTAAAAGCAAGTAAAAATAAAATGAACCCACAAACCTAAAAAAAGCCATTTGTGTTCTGTAAAAAAACCAAACCATCTCCAATGTACACAGAAAACACGTGTAAAAGTTCTTCCTAGCCGGCGCGCTGCTCAAGCTGTTAACCTAGCACTCCGGAGTCGAGGCGGGCGATTGCCATCGGAGTTCAACAGCCGGAGCAAAGCAAGACCCCCGTTCTACATAAAAGAAAGAAATTAATAGGGTCCATCTGATTATATAGAAACTACTGGGCGATGGTGGGCATGCCGTACCCCAGCTACCGGAGGCTGAGCGCAGATCGCTGGCCCAGGAGTTTGAGTTGCGGAGCTAGCTGACGCCCACGCACTCAGTCCAGCCGCACATAGCGAGACCTGTCTCAAAAAAAAAAAAAAAGCGGCCTAAACGATATCTGAAATGTATCGTGAAACCCAGCAAAACTAATAGCCATACAACCGCTACCGACGTCTGCGCCCTCTTTCCCGCTCGCAGCTCAGCACGGAGCGGAACACCTTCCACGAGAGGTGAAGACAGCCGGCGTGAGGTCCACCGTACGCCCAGCCCGAGGCCCGCCCCGGCCTCTCGGGAAACAACCTCGGACTTCCCCGCCTACCTGCGCGCCCGCCGTCGCCACAGGTACAGCGCCAGGCAACACGTCAGCAGCCGATGAAACGGGAGGCTTCCAGCGGGCAGTACACCTCACGACCCAGGGCGAGCGGCTGGCCGGCAGCGTTCCACAGCGGCCGCCGCACCAGCGGCAAGCACCTGAGGCAGGGGAGGCGCTCAGACCCGACTGCCCCCCAGCACTCGCCACCGCCTTCACCCCACACTCGCCGACCGCCCGCCGCAGCTCCGGCCCCACACTCACCGAACGCCGCCCACTGCGCGTCCAGGCCGTCCGGCCCGTGGGGCTGCCGTGCACCGCAGCGTCATCGAAGCCGAGCAGCATGCTTCCGGACGGCCGCATGATCAGCCGGCGCCCGCGGGGAAACGCGAACTACGCAAGCCGAGCGGGCGCCTGTGCGCCACGCGCGCCGCCTAAGCCTGTTGCGACCCCGCCCCTCGCTGCTGGCAGTCCTCCGGTTGCTGAAATTTGGCGTTTAAAGGCGCTTGGGCCTGTCTTTGAACCTCATAGGCGACTGCAGTGTCAGGCTCAAACTGGAACCCCAGCATTAGCTTCTATGCTGCAATAGAAAAACACACCATCTACTTATGAAGTAGGTATGTGCCCAAGCTCTGAAAATAACATTTTAGTGGACAATAGTATTCCTCATTTACAACTAAGAAAAAAATAAGGAGCCTTAATTTTTAGAGATACCACGCAAATACATAGAGAAATATACTGTGATTCTACAACAAATGGGAAGAGGATGTAGAGACAATAAGATGCCATGTTTGATAATTGCTGAAATTTTGGTGAAAGGTACATGAAGCTTTG